TAGCAAGGAAAAGGCAAAAGTTATAATAATGTTATTATGATTACGAACAGTAGGCCTAGATGCTGGGACTCGTGACCCGAACGTATGTTATAAGAGACGAGCCACTTCAGGGCTGTTGAGAAAGCCACTTCAAGAACATCTCATCGTTACGTTCAGTAGGTTCCGTGTTGCCGGTTCTACAGAACACAAAATTGTGTTATAATTTGTTGTTGTTGTTTTTGTTGTTGCTGTTGTTGTTATTGTTGCTGCTGTTGTTGTTGTTGTTGGTGGTGGTGGTGGTTTTATTGTCTAGATTAAAACCACTGAACACAAGGTTTGAGGATGTTTGTTCTACGGAAATAGTCTAGCTTGTGATGTCGATTTCATTCTATGAATGTGATTTAGTAAACAAAGCCCAACAGCTTTTTTATGCTGTTTGTGCCTCATGCGATGTATGCGTGCCTTTATACAATATGCAGGCCTATTTAATGTAATGTGTATTCTCTCCTCTTTTTTATGTTTGTTACTCTCTTGTAACGTCTGATTTTCGGTACTTGTATGACCGAATTGTGCTGCAAGTACCGAAAAACTCTTCTACAAAGCATGTATATACATATAATACATATATTATGTATGTATACATATTATATACTTGTGTTTATGGTGTAGAGGTTACGCGCTTCACCGCTGCATTGAGTTTAAGAAGACATGGGTTCGATTCCCGTAAGGGTAAACATTTTATCGAGCATCTCGGTCTCTCTATAGGACTTTGCATCCCTCCCAATTCCTGTTGGTCCTGAATTGTGTCGACGGGGCCTTGAAACACTAACATTTTAAAAAATGCAAAAATAAATACATAATAGTAATACACCTGGCTCCAGCATGCAAGGTATAAACAACAAATTTGTTCGCCTAGTTGATGTCTCCATGTAGATCTGACTTAACCTACTACACACATTCTGGGGTCTCCAGTCTCTGTGGGGCTAACATAGGGGTTGCCATGATGTCATGTGCGGGAGATGATTTTACGTATTTGAGGAAGGGAGAAGTCAATTTGACCTTTTACCCTTTTTAATAACCCGTTTCCTCGAAGGTCCGAAGTTTTTTTGGTCATGGGACGTTGGTCATTGTACAGGTTTAAATGCCCCTTTCAACACTGTACGGTTATTTTTTAGTTAGGGTCTTTTTAAGGGGGGG